CCAGATTTCCCTGCTTGAGGCTTCTTCATCCTCTGTGAAATGCCTGCTGCTCTGCCTCCTTTATTCCTTACTGCAGATCATTTCACTGGGAACTTGGTAAGATTTTACTGTCTTTTAAGAATATGCCCTGTTTCGTTATCTGAAAGACCTAAAGGATAAGGACTTTAATCCACAGTGGAGAYAGAACAAAACAATTTTGTCAGAGGTGTCCTTGTCCTTTTTTAAAAAAAAAAAAAAAATCTATTTAGCTTTTCACATTTGGTGTACACACGTTCTTCCTGTTTTTATCAAAGAGGCCTAGGATCACTCCAATATCCARAGCTGATATCAGAGGACAAATTTCATGTAGTTCTGAAGAAGTTCAGTGTGTGGGCAGGAGGCACTGACTAATTAAGAGGAATGCTWATAATCGTTGGCATTTAGCTGTCGTCCACTTAGCGTAGGCAGTAAATGAATGGCACACAAAAGCAGACTTTAATTTTTTTACTTTGCTTTCTGACTGCATAATCCCTTTAATCCTTTGCTATCAGAGTTTTTTTTATTAATTAAATGGAATCTCTGCAGGCTTAGTGATTCACATTTCAGGGCAAATATGTGTACTTAACGGGGGAGGGTTGGCATAGGTCTCACTGGGCAACTTAAGGTTTAAAACCATTCTTTCAAGGTTATTTTGTAAATGAATGTGTGTTCCTTGGCAGTCAGCAGTGTGGGATCTTCACTGTTGAAGAGCTGAACTCCAGTTTAGCAAAGAATTCCTGCTGCAAGAGTTACCTGATTTCTCTGTGATGGTTGATTGATCCTGACTGGGGTGGAAAGTGTCCCTGGGAATGGGAGAGAGCAGGAGGAGCAGGAATTCACAAAAAAAAAGCAGATCTTTGTCTTCTGATGTGGCAAGTGGAATGTTTCTTGCTGTAACAGGAACAGAATCCTCTTTCCTGCAAGAATTCCCAAGGCTTATTTATGATATGAGGGCTCTGAAGAGCAGTAAATATTTAGTTGGGTGTTTTTATTCTTTTGCTGTGTGTGGATCTTTTATGGGTAGGGAATGTGACAGACAGGACCAAGCAGTTACTTCTGAGCAGGCTGAAGAAGAGATTTTTAAATAAGGAATATCCACATGTGTATGGAAGCCTTTTCCAAGCTTGGAAGAGTGGAATTAGGACCTGTATCACCAGGAAGGGATATGTCTAATGAGCTCGTTCTAACACAGTCCTGTATTTTCTCTTTAAGCTCTCCCTGCCAGCTGTGCAGCTTTTTTTCCTGGAATGAGCAGAAATTTATTCTGGTGAAGGAGAAAAAATGCTGCAGATCTTTGCAAAGAACACAACTTCAGCTAGSTTTTGCATGTCATCTATGATCTTAAAGGTCCTTTCCAACCTAAATGATTCCATGATTCCTGCTCTCGTGACCATCCACTAGTTCTTGTGACAATCCTCCTTCCTTAAGCTGAAGAGKGTGATGGGGAGGTATTTCTGGCTGTTTGCAAATCCTCAGCCTCACTGTTCCCTGTGAGAATATTCTGATCATAGCCCACCCCACAGAGGAGTGCACAGTGAGATGCAATGACAAGGGGATATGTTGCTGTCATATACACTGGATTCCTGAGCACAGTGTCTGTCTAGATTCCTAAATCCTTTATCCTTTGACTCTCAAGTTAAAGAGGAGCAGCTTCCTTTTCTCTTGKTAGAGCTCTTAATTTTGAGGGAACCATCAAGAATTTCCTGTGCTTACACTTCCACTTCTCTGAGGTAATACAGGCACTGAAGGGTAGCACAGAAAATCAAAAAATTGCATTATTAAGGATGCCTGTAACACTGACAATGGGGGTGTRTGATTTTGGATCTCTCTGCCCTTCTGGTGAGACTGTAGCTGGAAAAGACAACTGTGGTGCTGAACTGCAATGCACATCTTCTCTGAAGTCAATAAGGTAAGACTTGTGATGAATGTGATTTTAATTACTGATGCCACTAAYTATGCCAGGAAATGGTGCTGGTTCTGGAAGCAATAAAAAACCAGCAGGTTCCTGTGCTTATGCTTACCTTTAAAGAGAGTTTGTCTCCTTCCATGCCTTCAGAACTCTGGCATCACTCGGGCCTCTGCACAGGTCTGGATAAGAGGAAACTTTCTGACTTCCAAGAAAAACAAATGGAAATTCAAAAAGCTTGCATCTGGCCTGTTACCTCATCCTCGGCCACCTGGGCTGCTTGAGAGTCATCAGGGCATTCCCAGTTCCATTTTGCTTGCTATATAATAAATTAAATGACTGTCAAAAAAAGAGACATGCACAGAAAGCAGACAACATTCAGTGCTCAAAGAATTATCACAGAATTACAGAATGATTTGGTGCAGAAGGAACTTTAAATATCATCTACTTCTCCCCTGCCACGGGCAGTGATGTTACCAATAGATCAGGATGCTCCAAGTCCCATCCAACCTGGCCTTGAACAATTCCAGGGATGGGGCAGCCACAGCTTCTCTGGGCAACCTSTRCCAGGGCCTCATCCCTCTTTTCAGTAARGAATTTCTTYCTTAACATCTAATCTAAATCTCTGCTYTGTTAGTTTAAAACCATTCCCCCTTGTTCTATCACTGTCAGCCCATGTACWACGTCACTCTCCCTYTTTTTATAAGCTCCCTTTAAGCACTGAAAGGYTTCATTCTCCCTGGAGCTTTCTCCAGGCTGAACAGCCCAAATTCAGAGCAGAGGTGCCCCAGCCCTTGRARCATCTTTGTGGGTTCATGTTTGTCTGGTGCAGAGGATCCCAGACCTGRCCACAGCACTGCAGGGTCTCAAGGGCAGAGGGGAGGGGAGAATCCCCTTCCTTCCTCACCTGCTGCTCACTCCTCTTGCCATTCAGCCAGGATGGGGTTGGCTTTCTGGGCCAGGGGGAAGGACTGATGTGYGTTATTGTGTGTGTGAACACCAGCAGGGAGTTCAATTCCACACAAACCGCTCTCTTTCCCCCACCCCTTCCAGTGAGGCACAACCAAGCACAGATTATGGGTTGAAATAACAATTTCCTAAAAGCACAAAGCACTGGAATCACACACACACACACACACACACAATAACAGCTGTATTAATACCAAAAGGTTCTCCTGATAAGTATTTCACAGAAGTACAAATTAGCCAATCTCTCCTGCTTCTCCTGTTGCCAGGTGATGTGCATTGTTGTGAAATCTGTACATCAATACGTCTTTGTGTATCTTCTGCACACATTTGACAAGYGTTTCTGCCAACCAATTCTGTTTAYCATTAATTCAGGCTTCAGTACTCTCAAATGACAGAAGTAAGATTATCCACATAATTTGATTATGTTAGAAAAGTTGTTCCTGATACTTTATTCAGAATGTACTTTCTTCTATGAATGACTATTCTTCCTTGGAAGAGTAGAGTTTAGAACTCATTTTGGTATAAATGTCCTCTTGTTCAGTAATTTATTTCTACTTCCAGTACCGACAAGGAAAATAAGGGGTTTGCACTGTATTTGAAGCATTTCAAAATGTGTTTCAAAACATATACTGAATGCACAATTGACATGTAAAATTCCATCTGGTATCTTTTTTTCCCCAAGGASAAATGTTTTSAGTTGTTACAGAAYGTGTACATTAATTCTCTACCTTATCTCWGGGTTAGAAATTAATCACAAGCAGAATTATTCTTTTTATCTTGTTCTAAGATAAAGTCAGTGGTGACTAGATGTAATCAATGATGCAAAGGTCACTCTTTGATTTATAAATAGATACACCTTAGATTTATAAATAGTTTGGTGGCTTTTCATGTGTCCTGTTCACGTCTTCAAGTTTGTGATCTTGATGTAATAGTCATTTAGTTCCCAAGGCTGACAATACTAATAAAGAGAATACTTGAACTAGGGATAAAAATTAGAACTTTACAGTTCAGGCTTTTAATGCCACTTATTTTCTCCCTATATAAAACCGAGTTTTATATTTACTTGTACATAAGTTTATGAAAACGTCTAAGTGTGGTTTKGTGAAAAAAATCTGCTATTGTAACCTGCTGAATGAAGAGATGAGCTGTCATTGTTCAAATGCAAAATAGTTTTCTCTTGTGTTGAAATCAGAGAGGGGGAAATCACACTTAACCCACATATTGGTGGGGTTTTCTATTTTTTGAATAACATGTACTGAAGAAATAAAATATGTGAGCTTTGTAAATGGTTAAAAATGGTGCTGTGAACAAATGTGAACACCGTGAGTCAAACAGGCATTTTCTCTCTTCAAGACCAAAGTACCAGTATTTGATCAGACAGATACCACATCTGATGTTAAAATCTTTCCAACCTCAGTTACAAAAATAGTACCACCCAAGTTATCAAAYGTACAGCTGCAAAGTACATAAAGTTTACATCACTTAAAAGATCAAAGCTGAATGATGYAGGACTGAAGGTGGTGCAGTTCAGCTGCAAAGTAACAGCTATTTCTAAGTGCAAATCAACCACAGCTTCTCTCAGTATTTCCACTGCCTCCATCACACCAATGGGGGTAACACTGCTGTGGAACACTTTGCAGCTCAAGATTTTTATGGCTTCCTTTCCCCTACATGGAAGGAAGGGTGAGGCCAAGGATCTGCTTCTAGGGCTGATGGGATCAAATGAATTCCATCTGTATTTCCACACAAACCCCAGGAGTGCTRGGTTTGAGCCAAGCTTTTGGAGGAGCTGCAGCTCCAGACTCAAGAAGGTGGCTGGTACTGAGACCATGAGTGTCACCAGTGACTCTATGATGTGTTACAGATCTCCTTTTTAGGTTCAAATGCTTTTGGACTGCATGTAAATTATGGCTTAGGTACCATTAATAAGGCACCAGAAGATCATTGTGCACATCCATTAGAGCTTTTAAAGGCTGTACTTCTTTCTACATGTAGATCAAGAACCACTTCTAAGAAATATTCATAGTCCTAGAGGAAGAAACTTAGTAAACTGGCTATTTTTTTATTTATTTAATTTTTTTAAGAAATAGAAAAAAAAAAACATTTTTCCTCAGTGGCTACTTAGCGCTCTAACATCCACAGGTACTGACACCCTCTCTATTTACATAAACAGGTTCTTGTTCTGTGTTCCAAAAGAAAATTCAAATGTGGTTGACTCGGACAGTCCAATTTCTAATTCACCAAAAGATCTCTGAATTCTGTGGATTTATCACAGTCCTGATGTTCACCTTGTTCTTCCTCGGGGAAGTGGCAGCTGCAGGCATCRTCTTCCTGAATTGACTGTTCAGGTGTGTGCACTGAAGAAAACAGAACCACATGATCAGTTAGGTTGGAAATGACCTAAATATCCCCTTTCTGTTCTGTTTACTCAGCCATCTTATTTCACCATTCCTCAATTACAAGTGCAGGAAGGAAGAAAAAATCTTCCAAGTTACTCTGTAATCTGAAACTATTCCTCTACAGCATGTACATCTGATAAAACTAAGTGATCATACTTTGTTTTTTTCCCTAATTCAGCAGGGCCTCTAGTGTTCTGTTTGTCATAGCAATAAAATAAGGACCAGCRTGAAGGAATCAGATTTTTGGACTGCTGTGGTCTTCTGTATATCGAGTTACTCTAGAAGATTCAGACCTTATCCTAGGACAGGAGAAAGAAATAGAGRGAGGGAYGGAGAACRCCCCAAAAAACCAAMCATACCAACTATAAACTACATTGAATGGAATTAGCTTCATCTTTGAGCTGACCTCTTGAGCTTGCCCAGGGTTTATTAGCTCTCAGAGGGCAGTGCTRGGCTCAGGCTGACTCTGCACAGTACAGCAGCACATCCTGACTGATATCCCCCCTTGTACTGACACACTCACTGCAGGCCCTGGGTACTCTTTCTGAGCAGACAGAACTCCAAAGTGTTACAGCCACACAGGCCAAGGATGATCCTTGGAAGTAAAACTGAACTGATCTTTAACTGGAGCAGCAAAGCCCAGCTGAGCTTTTTCACCTCTCACAAATGYTTCACTTCTAAGGATAAACAAGCACTTGACCTAACACCCACAGTGCTTTTGGCAATAAAAATTCCAAAAYTGTTTCCCTTTCGGTTGCATCTGACTTACAATGCCAAAAAAAAATGAAGCTATTGCAACTGTCTTTGAAAGACACTTAACCTGGATTCCTGACCTCTGTCTGGCTTCAAAAAGAAAAACGGAAGAGTGTATTTATCTTACTTTTCTTGAAGACRSCATGCAGTTTCTTTTTCTGCCAAAYRCTGAAGCAGATGCACAAAGGCAGCAGAAACACTACGCACAACAGCCCAGCCACAGCAAGAGAAATCCTGATCATGTCTGTTGGGACATCCTTCCCTA